AGTAAAAAAAAGTTTATTAAGGTCACTAAATCTCTTTTTTAACTGTTTTCTATGGCTTGTAAATGCATAGTATTTGTCATTGTCTTGATTAATAAATACCTTGCATGGTATCTACCAAAAAAGGGGAAATAAACAATGTTTGTTTGCTATCTAAAACATATACCCTTCAAATTTTACTTTCCAACCAACCAAACAACCATACATATACCCTTCAAATTTTAGTTTGCTATTTCTGAGCTCAAGAGTTCAATCCTTTTGATAAATTCTTCTTCTTTATGGAGCTCTTCATTGTGTTCATTTCTCGCTCATTATAGTATATACTCTCATAGATGGGTTTGTTTGTTGGATTTTTTTTTTCCCCCCATTATGAGACTAGCTGTTCAGCTTTATAAGTATTGGATTATTATTGTTTGAACATAATTCTCTTCATGTTATACAGAATTTTTTATCTATTAAAAAAATTTGTTAGCCAATAATGTAGACTTATTTAGATTAGAAAACTGTTATTGCTTCCCTCACATATTCACTACTACAAAAATAGTTAAAGATCACACTTTAACAAAAAAAAAAAAGATCTCACTTTTATTAGAAGTGTGATAAAAAAAATTAGATTGATATTTTAATCACACTTAATTTGATTGAGTGTGATAATATTTATTTTTTATGTCACTTTTCAATTAAGTGTGATTATATGTATATATTTTTAATCACATCTTCTAATTAAAGTGTGATTATATATACACTACTACTTTTTAATCACACTTTTTAAACAAGTGTGATTATATATATATATTTTTTAATCACACATTTTAATTAAAGTGATTATATATACACTACTACTTTTTAATCACACTTTTTAAACAAGTGTGATTATATATATATATTTTTAATCACACCTAATTAAAGTGTGAATATATATACACTACTACTTTTTAATCACACTTTTTAAACAAGTGTGATTATATATATATATTTTTAATCACACCATTTTAATTAAAGTGTGATTATATATACACTACTACTTTTTAATCACACTTTTTAAACAAGTGTGATTATATATATATATTTTTAATCACACCTTTTTAATTAAAGTGTGATTATATATACATTACTACTTTTTAATCACACTTTTTAAATAAGTGTGATTATATATATTTTTTAATCACACATCGGAGACAACGTGACCCAAAAACTTTACCTCGGAAAGTCAAAACTTACATTTCTCATACTTAGCATACAATCGGTGTTCCCTAAGCAATTGCAAGACAATGCGGAGGTGCTCTTCATACACTTCCTCAGAAGGTGAGTAGATAAGAATATCATCCACAAACACCACCACGAATTTATCGAGATAATCTCAAAAGACTCGGTTCATTAAGTCCATAAAGGTGGCAAGGGCATTAGTTAAACCAAATAAAAATAAAAACGACGTCGTCTTACTCTTTTGAACATTTCTCCTTTCACCCATTTTTTCATGTGTCTCTATTTTTGTCTCTGTCTCTCTTCTCTTTCTCTCTCTCACTCATAACTCTTCTCTGTCTGTCTGTCTGTCTGTCTATCTGTCTCTCTCTTTCTCTATGTGTCTCTGTCTCTCTTATCTCTCTTTCTCTCACTCATCACTCTTCTTTGTCTGTCTGTCTCTTTCTTTCTCTCTATGTCTCTGTCTCTCTTCTCTTTCTCTCTCTCACTCATCACTCATCACTTTTCTCTGTCTGTCTGTCTGTCTGTCTCTGTCTCTCTTATCTCTCTCTTTCACTCATCACTCTTCTTTGTTTGTTTGTCTCTTTCTTTCTCTCTATGTCTCTGTCTCTCTTCTCTTTCTCTCTCTCACTCATCACTCATCACTTTTCTCTGTCTGTCTGTCTGTCTCTCTCTCTCTCTCTTTCTCTCTCGTCCATCTTTCTTTTTTTCTCTCTCTATCTCTCGCTCATCTCTCTCTGTCTCTCTCTCGTTTATTTCTTTTCGCTCTTTCTCTCTCTTTCTGTGTGTCTATATCTTTTCATCCATTTTTTCATCTTCCTTTCTCTCTTCTCTTTCTCTTTCTCTTTCTCTCTCTCATTCATCACTCTTCTCTCTCTGTCTGTTTGTCTATCTGTCTCTCTCTCTGTGTCTCTTACTCATCTATCTCTTCTCTCATCTCTTTTCTCTCTCTGTCTCTTTCGCTCATCTCTATTCTCTTTATCTCTCTCGCTCATCTCTCTTCTCTCTATCTTTCTCTCTGTCTCTCTCGTTCATCTCTCTTCTCTTTATGTCTCTCTCGCTCATATCTCTTTTCTCTATCTCTCTTCTGTCTCTCTGGTCTATCTATCTTCTCTCTATGTCTCTTTTTTGTCTCTTACTCTCTATCTCTTTCTCTTTTTTTTCTCTCTCTCACTGTGTTTGCGTTGCTCACTCTCTCACTCCGGTTTTCTCTATTTACTGAGCTCCCTCTCGATTTATCGATCCATTACAAGAAAATGTATTTTTAGCGACCACTTTGTCTCTTTTTCGCTCATCACTCTGTCTCTCTCTCTCTCCTCTATCTGTCTCTCACTCATTTCTCTCTCTCACCACCCATCTCCTCTAGTACCTTCACTACTACTGCAAACGCCATTTCACAACCAGCACTAGTTCTACTGTTGCTACTTCATCTCTACAACTACCATTACTACTACTATCGCCACCACTCCACTACCACCACTACCATTACTGCTACTACTATTACCATTACTTCTCTTTCACCCCTGCCACTCCATTTACACTACCACAACTTCAGTACTAATCTCTTTCGCCATAACCATCACCACCACCATCATCTCTTATCCACTACCTTCACCACTGTTGCCGTTTCCTTTCCTCTACCACAAAAAATTAGTTCATGATTTTTACTAACCAAAAAAAATACACCGCAAAAAAATATTTTTCATTGACTACAGAAAATTAACTTTTATTTTAGTGAAAAATATTTTTTATTAAAATATATATTACCCCTACTTCTACCAAATACAAAATAATAATATTTTTTCATTAAAATAAAAATAAAACAAATAAATTTTCAATATTTGTAACTAAAAAAAAATTAAAAAAATTTCATTAATTACAAAAAAAAATATATTTTTTTGACAAAAATTAAATTTATTTATTTATTTTTATTTTTATTTTTCATTCCCGCCCCTTTATTTTTTTTCATTCCCGCTCCCCCCTTTGTTTTTTTCCCATTCCCGCTTCCCCCCCTCCCCAAAAAAAAAATCCCCAATCTCGAACCCAAAAAATCCCTAATCTCTTCTTCCCCCCCTCTCTCTCTCTCTCTTGATCGACGGCGAGCGGCGGAGGAGCAGCGTCGGAGGAGGAAGAGGAGCAGCGTCGGAGGAGAAGGAGCAGCGTTGGAGCAGCAGCAGATCTTCCGATGTTGCCTGGCCTCCCCAAGTCCTACCCTATCACTCCTTCTTGTATTCATAGTTTTATCATTAGACAATATCTGATATGTGTTCAAGTATCTGATGATTTGATTCCTGAAAATATTCTCTGTTTATTTTGACTAGGTCATTTTTGAAAGGGTTTATGCTTTGCACCCTGATATCAGAAAATCACTAGACTTGTGGATTGCTGTTGTAAGGATGAATGCCACTTCATTTCTGAGGCTTTATATTTTATTTTTTTGTTGATTAACCTTCTTGTTTCTCGTTGTCTATATCAATTTCTTTTGGATAAGTAGAAATACTTGTTATGAGATAACCGGTTGTTTGAAAACAGGTTGGAGGTGTTCATTCACATCTTATTTCTCGAGTTCAAGGGGACAAAAGTAGAGTTGGGTGCTTTATGTCCCAAAATGACATTATGACGACAGTGTTTCCAATGTTCCAGCTGCACATTGAACCACATCTTGTCGATGCACATGTTAGTAGATTTGAAACCATTTGAGGCTTATTATTGTTGCATAATTTTGTGTATAATACGTATATAGCAGTGTAAATGAGATTATTGCCCTTACATCTTCATGTGACATACTGGATGGAGTAGAAATTTTTAGATGTAGATGATTACTCAAAATTGGAAACATATGTAGCTTTGAGCTTGAATTGTTAGTATTGCAAGTTTGCAACAAAGAAAACCATGTGAATGGACCCATTTTATAATATTTATTTATAGTTGTTTTGAGGAAGTTGAAATTAATCAAGGAGAAGGTAAAGGAGTGGAATAGGGAGATATTTGGCAACTTAAATAGGCAAAAAGGACAAACCGGACAGCATGTCGGTGCAAGGAGAGGTGGGAATCCTCTACAGATGCAGCACCAGCATCAGCATGTACATTATTGTTCTCTATGTTGTCTCCAAGCGTTGTTTTTCATTTCTTCCTCCTTATGCTTTATGCATTTATATAATCAAGGGTCTTTGGCTTTGGAATTAGATCGAACATGACATACACTTTCTAATTTTTAAAAATTCTAGCCTTGTTGGAAGGCTGATATAAAAAAACTTTAGCAAGAATTCCCAGTGACTGATTTATGAATGTCTTTGTCCCATGTCTGTTAAGACTATTGTGTTCTGCTTTTGAATTTCATGATCTCTCTAACGGTGTTGTATGTATTTTTGTTGTCATTTTAAATTAGTTAATGCATCGAAACACCAACCAAGGCTTAATATATGTGGCCAGCACACGAAATGGTATGGACCCATCTATTGTTCCTCAAGGTCTCATGGCTCCAATGATGCCATTACCTTTTGATGTTTCGGGAATGTCAACGACTCCATTGGATGTTCATCGTCCTGGGCCAGTGCCTATGTCAACACTTGCTTCTGTTCTGTCTTCGGCTACGCCAGAGAATCAGCACATGGTGAGTTTTTTAATCTTGTCTCTTCATTTCAGCTTCCATGGCATAAAAATCTAAAAACTACTTTGAAATGTTGGTTCTTGATTCTGAATGTTTGCAATGGCCTTGTTGTCAAAATGACAGATGTTAGGGGAACAACTATTTCCTCTAGTGAAGAGGGTTGAGCCTGACCATGCTGGAAAAGTGACAGGCATGTTGCTGGAGATGGACCAAACCGAGGTTCTCCATCTTATCGAGGCTCCAGATGCTCTGAAGAAGAAAGTTTCCGAGGCTTTAGATGTCCTCCATTTAGCATCATCGGGACCCAATGTTGGTGATCAGCTCGGCTTATTGTCCTTGAACGAATGAAGCGAGCCCAATTTGGCATGGTATATACATTTCTTCTTTAATATATGCATATGCATTTGTAGAGGCCTAGTGTTATTTATTTTTAGGGTTCATGAGCTGCGATTGTGGGGTTTTCTTCTAAAATTTCTAGGATCTGTTTCATTTTTGTGGGGGGTGGCAAATTGGTTGCTGAAATACTTTTTAGGGTTGGGATTTGGTATGGAGAGAGTTTGAAGATCTGGGAATTGGTATTAGGATTATTATTTTTATTTTCAGTTTGTTTAGACTTTTCTATCATTTTTAAAGTTTGTTCAGTTATCAAGGATTTGATTGGTATTCTTTTGACCTATAGTTGTTCTCAGCTATTATTTTGATCCTATTTATTAGCAGTTGTTCTAGGAACAGAAAAACTAATTCGGTTATTTGATTGGTTTCTGTCATATTGCTTGCCTTTATAATCTGTGTCGGGATCCAAACCGTTGATTGGTGTGGTGTTGTCGGTCTTACGTAGGGGACACACTAACTAATCGATAGCTTGGAACTTGTGTGTGCGGTACCATTCTGCCGGCCTTGTTCCATTTTAAAATCCAAATGCTTCGTTCTCAAACACCTTTCCATGCGTTAAGAAGCTTTGCAATGTTTTCTGTTGATATAAAGCTAATGTTGCTGTTACTTTTTTTTTTAATCAAAATTTGTTGATACTTTTTTTCAATCAAAATGTTGAAATGATGAGTCAGTTTAGATAATAGTTGTTAAGGTGTAATAATAATAATAATAAGGGAATTTTCAGGAGAGTGGAATGGGAGCACATAACCTCTGAATTTGGGTTCAACAGTGATTGTTTTGTGCAGTACTAAGAGAGTTTTTTTTTAAAAGCAAATCCATTGTAGTTACAGTTTGGTATAACTCTCCTTCTCATAGAACTTTCATAGAACTTTCTGTTAAACTCTAGTTCGTTAGACTATTACATAATTTTCTCAAGTTCTCATCTTGATACATAAGTAAAACTTCTAGTTATGTATATGTACGCCATCTGCAGTGACATGGAGTATGACATGCACTCACTCAAAGTGGCTCCATGCCATCCTTTAAGATGAATAATCTTGTTTTTTTAAATTTTTTTTTATGGTGGTTTGTTTTCTTTTTCTAAATAAGTTGGTTTTGTTAGTAGCTTATTAACAGATAGCTTGTGGCTTATTAAGAAACTGGGAACATATGTCCTCTGAATTTAGGTTCAACAATCATTGTTTTGGCAGTACTTGGAGATTGGGTTTTTAGAGTAACTTTAATGTGGCTTAGTCGGATAATTCTCTCATAGAGCTTTCTGTTAAAATCAAGTTTTTAGACTATTACATTAATTTGCTCGTGGATCAATACATCTTAATACATGTAACACAGTAAAACTTCTTGTTTTATATGCATCTTCTGCAGTGACATGGAGTATGACATGCACTTTCTGGCTTCAAAAGAACCGCTAAAGTTGTGCCATGTAAGCAAATTCTATTCAACTGGTAGAATGTGTATATAACATGAATAGTTTTGTTGACACTGCCAATAAACATAGGCATCAAAATAGGCATATTCACTTGGATACAGACATGAACATGCACAACAGTTAAAATGTTATAATCTCTCTCTGTTAAAATCATTTTTGACCAGATCTAGTTGCGAAACATACATCTTGTAGCTTCTCAAGTATCAAAACTTTGACAAGGAAATAGGAAAATGACCTCTGATTATCATAAGCACTGTGTGAGAATTTTAAGGGTTCATTGTTATTTTATATCTGTTCAGCTTCACTCTTCAATATCTCATCTGTTTGTGTTTTTTGTCTATAACTTTTGTGGAATAGAATTGGATCATCAGCATCTCATCTGTTTGTTTTTGTCTATAACTTTTGTAGGATAGAATTGGAGGAGATATTATCATGGCTCTTAATGATGTCCTAGATTTGACTCTTACCCAGGACATCTATATATTGTACTTTGCCTTATCCATGTTATGAAACTGTTGTTATTATTATGCTATAGTATTCACCATTTAATGGATATCTTTCTGTTTTAGTGTAATGGAAAAGGGTTCTCCATTGACATCTCTCTCTGTTGTAGATTAGGGTGTTGTGCGAGAAGGCTAACTTTTCATGGACATTTTTTATTATTTGTTCAATTTTACCTGACATTATTTCTCTTTTTCTTTCGTATAGATGGATGAACTCGTGCACAAAGCTAAATTGTACATGACAGATTGGCACTTTTTGTATTTTTGGAATGATTATATATTTTTGTATAGATGTATATGGAAAATATTAAGGTACACATAATTCTCGTTTTAATGATGCAATTGGGAGTTTCTAAACCCACCACACACCCGCCATGTTCATCTCTACACCTATATTCACAATTTTTTCTTCGTAACATACAAGATATACAATGCATATAGTGAGTGTAGAGAGAAAATAAGCGAGTGTATTTAGAAGCTCTGATGAATTCTTTTCATAAATGTAGCATCTGCTTCTCCAAAACCTGCTGCTACTGGTGATAGTAACTGCAATGTATGTATTCTCCTCCCTCCCCCCCTAAAAAAAAATGGAGTAAATTCTTGAGTTTTTATTTATTTATAAGTACCTAGAATTATGGTTCAACATAATAATAATATACCTTCACAAAAAGATCGTACACAAACTGTATTGAAATTTATCATTTTTAAATACTGTGTTCATTAGTGACCTCCTAATTACAATGTCATTGACACTGAGCTGCTATGGCATCTAATTGTTAACAGGGAAGTTACTTCCAAAAGGATTAAGATCAAGCAGAAATGATTAATGTTCCTATTTTGGTTTGCTGAATTAACTTTTTAGTTTATTCATATGCATCAGCAGTTTCTGGATTAATTTGTGTTTTTATTTTTCAGGTTAGAAATTTTTTGGAGAGCTGCAAAATATGATCCAAGAATTAAAAAATTTAGTTTTTTAAGTTTTTTTCATTTTTTAATATATATAAGCATAGTTAATTTTTTTTTTTATTTAATTCCTTTATATATACTTTTGAATATTTAATTTTCATTTATGAAATATATGACGTTATTCTATTCAATATGTTATGATTCAAAATATAGTATATAGTGTGTATTACATTCTTTAAATGTGCATATAAAAATAATATTGATTATTTTTCAAATATGTCGAACCCTTTTTTTATTACAGATTTTATTAGTTATTAATCACACTTAAAATGTGTGATCTAAATGTTATTAATCACACTTAAAAAGTGTGATTAAAAATGACCCTTTTTAATCACACTTTCAAAGATCACACTTAAAAGGTGTGATCATAAATGTTATTAATCACACTTAAAAAGTGTGATTAAAAATGACTATTTTTAATCACACTTCCAAAGATCACAGTTAAAATGTGTGATCTAAATATTTTTAGTCACACTTAAAAGGTGTGATCTAAATATTTTTAATCACACTTAAAATGTGTGATCTAAATGCTTTTAATCACACTTAAAAGGTGTGATTAAAAATGACCATTTTTAATCACACTCCCAAAGATCACACTTCAATAAAACTTAAAAAGTGTGATTAAATGACATACATCACACTAAAAAAGTGTGATCTTTATATGTTTTTGTAGTAGTGATTCTCCTTAATCAGTTGATTCAATTTTTGGATTCCCCTAAAACCTAGAATCAAAATGAGCACTATTGGCCCCGTTTGGTGTAACTGTTAAAACAGCTTATAGATTATACCTTAACAGATTATAGATTATGATTTTAATCAGAAGTTATTAATCTGTTTGGTGTAGCTGTTGGATTATAGATTTAAGTTGCTGAGTAGTGTTTGTTAAATAAGCTGTGAAATAAATTTTTCAATTAATTTTTATTTTTTGTTTGTCTACATTTCTCATAAAAAATAATAATAATAATCTATAATCCATTTGGGTCTTTTTCTATTTTTAAAAAAATAAAAAATAAAAAAATTTAAGAGTATAACCATAAATTAACATGTCCACAGCAGAAGTTGATAATCAGAAGCAACGGGTGAGTAGCTTCTTAGAATCAGCTTTTTTGAGTTAAAATAAGCTGTTAGAATCAGAAGCTGTTTGAAATAAGTTTAACTAAACAGTCCAAAATAATTTTTTCAAAGCTAAAAATCATAAGTTAACTCTGAAAAGCTGAAACAAACACCCCCATTGTGTAGTCAGGCTGAGGGATAGGCTAAATGGCCTGGCCATGTTGGGTATGCAAACAATAAATTGGGTTGGGCTTATTTTGATCCATTTCATACGAATTTGCACCATCTCCTAAATTTCATAAGGCTCTGAGGACTTGTAAGAAAAGTAAGCAATATAATTCTTTTTTTTTTTTTTTTAATTTCAGTTGCTCTTTTTTGGTTCTCCACTATTACTATTTTAATCTTAATTTAATGAAATTCCTACTAATAAGATTCTCATTTTCACTCTCTAATTCCTTTCATCCGACATAGTTTTAAGTAGTTCTTTTCTTTTCTAACTTTATTCCCTGACTTGGATTGATTGCTTCACATTGTCATTGGATTTGCCCTAGACAGGTCAGCACTGTCCAATGGTGATGCCTCACCTCAACTGATTGGGTGTCAACTAAAATTTTCCTCCTCCAATACAAAACATAAAAAATAAAAATACGAAATTCATAATATTAGGATAAATTACATTGAGCTCTCCTAAAATTTTATAAAAAAAATAATAATAATAAAAAAAATTACAAGTTGCCCCAATAGTAAGGTTAAAGAGACCAAAATTATTACAAATAGTGTATGGATAAATGAGGAAAAATATATTTTTTTTTGTATAAAAAGAGATGATAACATTATTTTTTATTTATATGATTAACAAATTATTACTGAAAGGAGGGTCAACTAATATGTAAATTAAAACACTTAAAGAAATGCAATGTAATTATGCTAAAACTATAAGACTTACTATATTTTCGTAAAATTTCAAGGGAGATCATCATAATTTATTCTATTTATTATTATCATTAAGGAGAAATAATTATTTTATGACTATAAGTCTAAATTAGGAAAAAAAATTATAATTCAATTTATTTGATCAAAAATATTTATTAAAAATCATGGGATGCAACTTTTTTTTGTGTAAAAAAAAAAGCACAACAAAAGTACACCCTCAAATAATTCTCACTATTTGATCATTTTTCCAACACCTCCCATTGAACTGATTTTCCCTCTAAATTATTGAAGAAATGACAGAGTCATTCTCTTTTTGGTACTCTCATTCTCTTCTTTTATATGGACAGTTATTCTTTTAGACAAAGATTGTCACTTTTGTCCCTGTTTGGTGCTTGCAGTGAGATGATCATAATTGATAGACAAAAAAGGTTGCAAACTGAGCAATATATACTGAAAAATAATATTATTGATGGACAAAACCAAAAAGCTTGCCTGTTCAACTATGCATTACCTCAGAAATGGCAGAGAAAGTTACTTTCTTCTTTTCCTATCTATACCAGCATGCCCAAGTTACATACAGATGCAGTCCCATGCTTGTACATATTTCATTTTTGTTTTTTATTCATTTCAATATATATATATATATATGGGAGTGACTTTCCTCCAGTTTAGTGTTGTTGGGCCTCTGTAGACTTACCACGGAATTTGAATTGATAATTCGAACTGTTAATATGTAGGACTCATCAAGTGCTTTATCCTTACAAAATAATGATCTGATTAAGTGATTATCGCTATCCGATCAACGTAATTTTTTATAATGATAAACATATTCAATGGTTCAGATCATTTATGCAGGCTCTACAATGGGCCCATGAAAGCTCAACAATACCTTTCAATCTGATTTGAACTAAAGAGAATTTCCTTATATATATGATAGTCATGTGTGCATATCTAAATGAGTTTACTATTAAAACTGTAGGAAGTTATAAGATTTAATCAGATTTTGATCTAGACAATCACATGAGATAAGATTTTATAAAATCAAGAATACTTTGAAAAATAAAAATAAAAAAAAGTAACAATCTACACTATCTCAAGTGCATACTTTATACAATAAATAATATCGCTACTATTCCTAAAATTGGTGGCACACCATGTGTGAGTATAGAATCATTTCCTTCTCGCAAATAGTTGAAAGTATAAAAATAAAAAATAAAAAAAGCAAAAAACAAAAAGCAAAAGACAAAAGAAAAAAGAAAAAAAAATTGAAATAGAAAATATAAATTTAAAATCCAAAATCAAAATATGAGGTAGTTATATAGTAGTTAATCCTGAGAGTTGTCCAGAGTAATTAGGACAATTTGTGGGTGTATTTCTTATACAATTGTTCAGGATTTAATTCTAAATAATTTTTTGTGAATTCTTTTATCCCGGCATGAATGATCTACTTTTAACCATACTAAAAACTTATTAATCGAGATATGCGTAAACTCACCCAAATAATTTTAAAAAATTTATATATATCGAGAGAGAGAGAGAGACTATTTTAGAAAGTGAGTTAAAATTTACTTCTTAATTTTTAATCCATTTCTTCTTTAAAAAAAATTAAAGTCAGTTTTTAGTATTTTTTCAAAAACACCTCAGAGAGAGAGAGAGAGAGATTGTAGTTTGTAGTGTTTCTGCTGGTGCGTCTGAGAGAGAGAGAGAGATTGTAGTTTGTAGTTTTTGTGCAGGTGTGTCTGTGCTGGGTTCAGAATGGACCGAGCTTGCCAGTGTGTGAGGGTGCTGGGTTTAGAATAGACTCCTCAGAGTACTTGAAACACTAATTATTATTGCCCCCCACATTACATGAAAATGATAGTATATATAACTGCAATCTTTTTGTCACCTATTATTACTGCCCTCTGCCTCTCTTGTTTGAGAATTGGGGTCATTGTTGGGTTGTTGTTGACTATTAATATTTGCGGTGGCTTGCTTTCAGTTCACTATCCCGATTAAAGGGTCGAGTTTGATTTATTGAGTCTATTTTTAGTTATTTTTTTGATAATTTAAATCGTTTATATTTTAAGATTTATTAAGTATATTAGCCTTATAAAAAATCACGTTGATCAGATAATGGATACTATGCATTTGGATCATTTTTTTATGAACCGTTAATTTTCTGACCATTCATTTTTTTCAAGACAAAAGTGATCCGAATACATAATATTCGTTATCTGATTAACGTGATTTTTTACAGAGATAATATACTCATGAAATTCTAAAATGTGAATAATTTGAATTATCGAAAATGGACCCAAAAGTGGGTCCAATGGGCTGAACTAAACCAAACTGTCCTAGATCTGAACCGGAGACAGTCCAGACCCATTAATATATATAGTTAGTTCAATATTTTTAATATAAATATATTAAACTTTTTTTTAAAATTTTAATTCATATAATAATTAGATTTTTTTTCATTAATATCATGTAATATAAGATTAATGGTAATTTTTCTAAATTTTAGGAGAAGTAAGTTAATGTAATTATGTTAAAAATATAAGATTAATGGTAATTTTTCTAAATTTTAGGAGAAGTAAGTTAATGTAATTATGTTAAAAATATAAGATTAATTATATATATATATATATATTCTAAATCCCAAGAAGTGTGAGTTTAATTTACCTTGGTTTCGAAATATTAACATCAGCGAGTGTAATATCAAGAGATGTGAGTGTGTTTTTTTTTTCTTTTTCTTTCGACTTTTTACAAATACATTTTTTAAGATTTACTTAAAATACATTATTCATGTAGTTTTAAAAATCACATCTCATTCCTTTAAATTTCTAATAATCGCATATAAAATGATTCATTTTTGTAATAAATTATCAAGTCAATTAACAGTTTTTAATGATGTCAAAAATATATTTCAATTAATAATTCAGATAATTTTATTATTGTATAGAGGAGTAGTTAGGAATTTTATTATTTTTATTAATTCTGT